TAGAGGCCAAAGTAAATCGAAAAAAAATAATTATACCAGCTTCTCTCTTTTCTTCTTCTTATTTTAGATTAGAAAATAGAAAAGCTATGTGAATTAAAAATTCAAGGGAGATTCATTGTCAAGTGAATTAAAAATCTAAGGTAGGTTCATAATCGAGCGTAACCTATGCTAAGTTTAACACTATGTAGATCGAAACCCTAARGCAAATCGTGGATCATTAAGAAGAAAGGAAAGTGAAAAATCACATCAAGCCATTATACCCTAACAATTAAGATTTTAAATATCTATGTTGTTGACAAAGATATCGAAGTTTTAAATTGATGGAAATATCAATAAGATGTCGATGTTGTATTTTTTACAAAAAGAATCATAAAAATCAAGAAATTACAGATAAACATTTCACATATTTTAATTAAATAAATAAAAATTTCTTATAGTTAATATAATGTCTACGTTAAAGATATTTTGTTGATATTTYCTATATTTATTTTTATGATAAAATAAAAATGCTAATTCACAACCCATAGGCATATGAAAACTTGAACAATACCTTGGTAGCAATTAGTGCTACAAGCACGAAAACACACTTCTGCAAAATCTGGAGTGCTGAGAATCAGGAGGGGTAAAATAGAAAAACGACACGGGCACCATATGTGTGTAGGGGTAAATACCCRTAGAACCAATCCGAACTTATTATTAATTTTAGAACTATTTCTTTAAAAATTATATATTATTATATTTATTTTAATTTTATTTCATTCAATAATTCAATTTTTTTTAGAATCTACACTTTCAAATCAACATGACTTAAGAATCTTTAATTTAATGGAATAACCCAAACTAACCCAATCCAAAGATTTTGCGGTCGGGTCGGGTCTAAAAAGTACCCCAACCCATCCAATCCATGAATGCCCCTACTCCAATGTAAAAGTTGTAGAAAAACCGAAGTTCGTCACACAGGATCGAGCTTTGAAACACAGTGTAGTTCAGATCATGGACAGCAAGTACACGAGTATTTTTAAGTGAAACACTTATTCTATAAACAATCATGGAAGAAAATTAGTTAAATACCTCTTTTTAAAACTCGAAGTGCTTTTCATCTATTTTTAAGGTTTCTCAAAGTGCTTTTAATGGGTTAGAAAAAGCACTTTTTACCGCTAAAGTWTGAATCAAATAGTACTGACTTTTAAAAACACTTTTAGTCCTTTATAAGCACTTTAAAAGACATCCCAAACACATACTTACAAGATCAAAGTTACTGTTCAAGCAGACCGGATGGCATTTAATGTCTAAATATTTAAGCTAGAAAGGAAGTCGAGGAATCGATATCRCGTTACAAGTGGAGTTGAAAAACTCGGGTTCATTTGATAACTAACTTTGGGCTATTTGAATGTTGTATCTAAAACTGTTTTATATTTCATATAACAAAAATTTAATTGTACAATAACCTAAATATTTACAACTCACAATCACAATTCCCATAAGTTCTAAAAAAACTCTTCTGCTAACTAAGAACAACTTTTGTTTTTTTTTTAATAAGAAATAAATGAAAGAACATACGAGGGGTGTTTAATCCAAAATTTGACCAAGTACACAAAGCTCGACTTGGACGGAAGCTGGCTCAGCTGGTGAGCTGAGAGTCTGGCAAGTAGGAGACCTCAAAAGGAAAACATACATGAAAATAAGGCGAGAGGTCTCTATTTATAGGTGGAGCTTCCGACCAACAGTCTGACAAGCCTCCAAGTCTCCAATAGCTCTTTAAAGTTCTGAAAATCACGATATGTTGTCGTGGGGTATGTTGGAGATTGATTTCTGAAGGCATCATTCAATCGTCACGGCTGGCAACCCAGGCTGTCAGCTCTGCCTATCTCTTAGGTGGCCGAGCTACCAGATAGCTCGGCTTGGCCTTATGGATGAAAATTGAGGCAGCAACCCTTGCACCAATGGGTCTTAACGCTGTCTCATCATCTTCATCCTATCAGGGGTTACCACGTGGTCAAAGTGAAAAATCACCTCCAACAGGAGGCATGCAAAAAAACAAGCTCGACAAAAGGGACCCAAATCCAAAAGGACACCTAGTAATTACATAAGCCTTAAAAACCGACACCACACGGAGATATTAAAGCTAACAAGCCCCAAAATTTCCTCCTAAAACCTGTCCATCCCTAAAAATTCTACTATTCCTCTCTATCTAAATATTCCATAAAATAGCAAAAAAAAAAAAAAGCTTACAGAAGGATCCCCCGAAAAGGGGGAACAGCACCTGAGAACAACTTTTAAGAAGCCTAAAGAAAATGAATGGCAGTTCCCCAAGAACTTCTCACCTGTTCTACCAACTGTTAAAAAGCTTCAGAAAATTTCCAACCATGGATAAACAGAAGATGGAAAAGATATGAAGGTAAAAAGAAAGAAGATTCCATCATCATGAAATGAAGAGTTTTGGGGTTACCTTGTTCCATACTTCTTTGCTGGATGRAGAATGATCTTGGCTCCATTCAAATGATAAAATCTTAGCTAAACCAGCCTATGATTCATAACATTTTTGCGTGAATGATCCCTATTATGCACTAAGCTCCTGAGTACTGGCTGGTTTTTAGAATAAAACCTAAGCATTCCAAAACTTGTTTTTCCCTTTTTCTTTTTTTAGATAGAATTAGTTTCAAATGACATTTGAGAGCAATTTCGTACTTTAAAGTGTTTTCAGAAGGTCTAAATCATTTTTCACTATAGTGGAAATATGGAAAAGTACTTTTAGAGTGAGTTATTTTGGAAGAAGCTGCATTAAAGTGAGTTTGGTAGAGCTTCTTAAATTGTAGAAAGTGCTTTAAATCCACAAAAATTTTCTTGGTGTTTGCCTTACTTAGCTAAAACCACTCCTAACAATCCTAAAAATCATACCAAAACAGCTTTCCAAAACTACTAAAATTGCTCTTCCATTCAGACAGAGATTTATAAATAGTAAATTCAAGTGTCGTTAGCTTTCCTTTTACAAGCTACTAAACTAAATACACCGTTTTGTAAACAAAAAACAGAAAGCTATCTCGTTTCCCATCAAATTTTAGGAAAACAAATGTAATTTTGAACTAATTCAAATACCCATTTGTCTCTAGATCTGAAATCTGCAGACTCGAAGCCAAAGGCAACAGGCGAAATCAATTCCATCATGAACAGAGCAACCAACGAAGAACCCTAAAATTCCAATCAAAACAAAAGAGGCGACAAAACCCAGGAGGGAAGAAACTAGATCAGGATCATTGCACGCAAAAATGACAAGAATCAGAGGCTGGAAATTGACAAACGAGTCCCACAAGCCACGGCCATGGATTCAAATTCTTAAAAGAAACAAGAACAGAGAAAGAGAAATTGAAAAATCTGAGCGTGAGTAAAAAAAGGGGCGACAAGAAAAAGGAAGAGGCGTACCTGGAACTGGAACTGGAACCGGAAATCCGATGGAAGAACCAAGGAAGAAGGGAAATTGGGGAATTGGGTAATTGTTTTCTTGATTCGTTAGGGTTTTGAAATAGTAAAAATTTGGGAAATTTGGGAGGAGAGAAACTAGAAAGTAGTTGGAAATTTAATTTCTAACCATTTTCTGTTTCAAATTTGATTTAGGATGTTTTTTCTTTTGACTTTTTTTTTTCTTGAAAATGGGATGAAGCRGTTGGAATTAATTCACCAGTGGCGGCTTATAATTTAGTAGTTCATTTTAATCTTTATACTTTTGAAAAACTGGTCTTGGTTCCTATTATTTTAAAATATTCCTTTTCCAATTAAGGACCAAATTTTACYTTTTAAARAGTACAAGGATCAAAACATATGGAGACTAAAATTAACATTTTGAAAGTGCATCTRAAATGGATTAAAGTAGARAGTACATMAGTCAAAATAGTATTTAAACCTTAAAAAGTGGATCGTATTTGAGTTATTTAGTAGACCTATTAATTAGTCTTTGTGTTGGGTTTGTCAATTTTTCATTTGAAAATGTCCGAGCAATATACTACCAAGTTGCCAACTACAGCATAGTTCAATGGTTAGATCATATRCATCAAACCATGAGGTTGAGAGTTCGAATCTTCATCCCCACATATTATACTAAAAATAAAAAAAATAAAAAAAATTTTTACCAAGTTGCCAACATGAGCATAATTGAGTGGTAATTGACATTTACTTCTTCCTTCAAGGTCGGAAGTTCAATCTTCTATATCCCCAAATTTTTGTACTAAAAAAMAGAGAGAGAAGAGGGACTATCAAATTATGGCCGCATTAATTGGTCTTAATTGTTATGTGTGAAAGGTGTGTCTCACTTGAATTGTGGTTATTATATAGTTGTAAGGAGATTATTATATTTTTATCGATAKGAACGATAAATCAACATTTCTATAGTATTAAAAAAAATCGATAAAATATAAAATAGTATCAACAAATTTTTACCGATATGAGTTGGATATATTATTAATATTAATAAATATTAACTTGTTTAGAAAGATTAAAATGTTTACTTGTTATTTTAAATATTTATTATAATTTATTTTTATTTTTATACTTTTTCTAGAAATATASACTGTTTTTAGGGTTATAATTGTTTTTAGTTTTTTACGAAGGTAATTGTTTTTAGTATTTACAATCCTTCGTTTTTAAGTTTAAATACTATTTTRGTTCCTCTATTTTTATGTTTGATTCATTTTAATTCATATATTTTGAAAATGTTTATAATCTCTCTAYTTCCAACTTTTGTTCATTTTAATTAATTTACYTTCAAAGARTCTATTTTAGTTCCTATACTTTAAAAAAATGACAATTTTAGTCTTAATTTGTAAAATTTTAATATAAATGTTATAYACAATTAATATAATGAGACAAAAATGAAATTAAATGACAAAAACGTCACTTTTTAAACCAACACGGATGTTTTGRAAAGTATATAAAGATTAAAATGAATAAAATTCAAAAATTCAAAAACTAAAATAGACGTTTTTGGAAAGCATAGGAGCCAAAATGAGTAAAATATATACCATATCTATTTTAATTTTAATTTCGTTTTATCGATTAATGGAGCATCTGTCTCAAATCTAATTTTCACGATGGAGGGAGACCAAGAACTCATCAAATGGTAAACAAGGTATTTCTATTTTTTTCCCCTTAATTTTCCTTTATACATTAGATCCATTCACGATTGTTTTTCATTTTCTTTTGGACATTTATGATTTTTTTTAGGATAAAATAATGCAAACAAACTAAAAGGGCAAATCACTTTGCCTTATTTGCCTAGATGTGAGTTGCTTTATTTTTCTCCTTTTTGACGTGGGAGAGACAAGTGCTTTAACCACTTGAACTAATCGTCAGTCTGACATAATGAAACAATAACTTGTTTATAATGACAACACTTAGTGTATAGTTTTTACTATTCAAATGACTCATTTATGATTAACCTGAGTTGTTTTTTCTTTTTCTTTTTATTTTCCTCTTTCTTTGAATACAACATGTAGAGTGGGGATTCGAACTCACGACTTTTTGGTCGGATGTATATGTCTTAACCTACTGAACTATGTTTAGGTTGACAATTAACAAATCACTAAAATAGAAATTAAGTTTGAAACGCTAGCCATTGATTAATACAACCTTATGAACTTAAAAGTTGTAACGACACTTTCARTTAAGTCTAATGCTAGTTCACGAGAGAGAATCTTAAATGACTGCTAATTTTGGCAGCAGTTACCAAACGGGGTCGCTCTCGTTTGCTATAACGCTTCTCCTTGGAGTTACACATCTTAAATTTGTATCTTTATGCGCTTGCATAACTTATTTCCAATTTGAACGTTGAGTATTTTGACTAGCATATCCTACACCTATTATCATTTTGGGTTTGTTTAGTAACGTTCTTATTTCTGGTTTCTCATTTCTTTTTCTCTCTTTTTGTTTTTCTTCACTCTTTTTCAATGAAGAAAAACAAAACTATTTTGGCAGTTGTTTATTGTTTCTTGTTTTCTTTTTTAATTTTATTGAAAAGAGAAACATAAACATATTAATTTGTAACCATTTCTTACCAGAACAGAACAAAATATCGGGGAATCAACCATTCCTCTTTTCTAAATTTTTAGATTAAGTATTAAAATTTTTATATGAAATTTAATTTTTCAATTTTGTATGTTATATTTGTTATCAGTGAAGTAAAACAAGACTAAAAATGATTAAACGCCGACAAATCAAGCTTTAACATATTAAGTGGACGCTCAAGAACTCAGTGGCCAAGACCAAAGAAATAGGCCCAACCCAATAACCAAGGACTAAGGCCAACCGGTGGACTGGCTGGTCGGCTCGATCGAGCCATGAGGCCGACTAGCCTCGATCGACTCGACTCCCTCAGGCTGTAGCTTGATTGAGTGTTCTCTAGTTAGTCACGAACAAATCATGGGCCAATTAGTCTAGAGTCGACGTAAACTCGTCTTACCTCGATAAGGGCTTACTAGGGAAGAAGATCCCTAGATCTACCGACGTCATCCCTGACAAGACTCTTTCGAGATTAGGGTTTGAAGTCGCCACCAATGGAGTGTGATAGTAAAAGAAAAATTAATAAATAAAAAATAAGGTTAGTGCAGGGCCCATCAAGACTTGAACTTGTGACATAAAAGTCTATACACAAACTTCTTACCAATGTGGCAACATCCTAAGATATTACTTAAAATTTTATATAAATGTTTTAASCTTTCAAATTCTATAAAAACGAAAGTTTTTTTTATTAAAAAAAAATATTTTATCTAAAATAGCTGTTTTGTAAAATAATGATATAAAAAAACATTAATTTAGACAAACAAAGACTCGAACTTGAGATATGTGAATTACCCCTCAGTAACCCATCACTATGCAAGCACCAAATGATACAACTTAACTTTAATTTTTATCATACAAATCTTTATTTTAAAATAAATGGTTAAAAAAAAACTAAAATTGAAAATAATAATAATAATAAAATAAAAAAAATTATTTTGTTTTAGATTTGAAATTCCTCTAACAAACTTCCTTAAAACTAAAAAAAAAAACATTTAAAACAAACTTGTTTTAAAGAAAAAAAATATCATATTTAATACAAACTTGTTTTTTTTTAAAAAAATCCAATCATATTTAAAACAAACTTATTTTAAAAATAATCAAATCATATTTAAAACAAATTTATTTTAAAAATAATCAAATCATATTTAAACAAATTTATTTTAATATATATATATATATATATATATATATATATATATATATATCAAATTTAAAACAAACTTATTTAAAACAAATTTATTAAAAAAATCAAATCATTTCTAAAACAATTTTTTTCTATATCACGTACTGCAGTGAAATCCTTGGTGTGCCCGCGGGTCTGAAACTGTGAAGGAGCACTCGAGGTCGGAGTCAGATTGTTGGTGATCCGTGCGTCGGTTGTAGAAGTTGTTCGTTATATTATTATTGTCCGTCGGGATTATAGAGCTTTGCGCCGGACTACTGTGGTGCAGGTTGTCTAAACTTGTGATCACCGGGGGACGTGTGCAGTCTATGTATCGTCGGGGTCGCCGGTCTGGGTGAAGAAGAAGAGAAGGTGATGGTAGAGAGAAAGAAGGAAGTGAATTTTTCTTCATCTTCTCTATATGGTCATTCAAATAGTCATATCTTTTCATGTAAGGTTATGTCTTTCGATAAAAAGGCATAACCTTTACAAAACATGCACCCGTTCATGAAAAGTTGTGATTCTTCAATTTTTAACAAAAATAATTTTATTCAAAAATTCGAACGATCCCCCACATGAATAAAATTTATTTTTAAAAACGTGTACGATTACTCATGAAGAATAACTACATCAGGATAAATAGTCTAAGACTTTGAACTTTCCTTAGTAAAACTATGAAGTTTACATAGTTGATCAGTAGCTAAAGAACTTTGGGTTACCATTATGTTAACTGTTATATTATAGGTGATAAGTGCCAAGGTAGCTCGGGTTTACAAAGCTAGAGGTCCTTCTAGGATCCTTGCAAACATTCACAAAAACGACTAACTTACCGAATGATTCCAACCAAGAGTAAGGTTAGAAGATGAATCACTCTTAGATCGGACTTAGAATCTACGATGGTCACTCCTAGATCCTAAGACGACTCACTCCAGAATTAATTAGCTTGATCAAGACTAATCCAATGAATCGGTTTAACATCAAACCTAAAGCAAGATTTGAAAGAAGCAACACCAAAAGTGTTAAGGAACAAAAGTTCTTGAATTTCAATATGTTTAATCTCTCAAAACAAGGTGATTACAAACCTTTAAATAGGCCAAAGGGTCGTTTAACATGAGGAACACCAAAAGTCTTTCAAATCCTATTTATTGCAAATTGTAGAAAATAAGACATAAAAAAGAAAAAGAGGCAAGAGAAGAGAGAAAAAAAAGGAGGAGAAGAAGGGAAGGGGACACACCAAATCAAAAGAGAGAAAAAAACTGTTTTTTTAAATCTTAAAATCAATTAAAAAAACCCAATTATTTTTAAATAAAATCTAATTTTAAAACTTAATTTGATTTAATTAAAACTTTACATTAAATTTTATAATAAAGTAAATTATGTTATTTTAAACTAAATC